TGTTCACCTTTTATGGTCATTTTGGCTTTGGGGAAGAGCCAGAATTCACATGGTACCAAATCTGGTGAAAAAGTGCATGAAAACACACCATAGTGTTTTTTCAAGCCTGACTTTCAGTGGGAAAGCACTTGGCAACAGCTTTCACCGTGTTTTTGATCACACCTTGTAAAACCACTCATGAAAAAGGACTTCCAAAACTGCCTCCAAAAGTGGCAAGAGGACTGGAGTGAGTGTGTTTGAAGCAAGAGGGAGTATTTTCAGTGGGATTCATGGCAATGTGTCTTTTACTGTAATAAGTTATTACTTGATAACTTAATAAGTTTTTAAAATATAAAACTTAAAAACTGTTTTTAAAATGTAATTATTCTCCATATATCTTGTCACCCCTCGTATACTCAGAGCAATTGGATACATATGTTTCTCACATTACATTTGTATTTACCAAAACTATAGGCAATATAAATGTCTATCAACACTGGAATGGATAAATTTTAGTATATACATAAAAGCAATACTGTCCCACAATGAAAATTAACTACACCTATGTGTAGCATTTATATTACAAGCATAATATTGAGTGAAAGAAGCCATATACAAAGAATACTGTACATTCCACATCATTCCGTTTATGTGAAGTTCAAAAGTAACTAATCTATAGTATAACAATTCAAGATTACTGATTACCTGTGGCAGGGGCAATGGAATGGCTGAAAAAAGATGATTTCTGACACTTTGGTAGTGTTTATGGTTCTGGTTGATGCTTATTCTGGTGTGTTCACTTTATGAAAATTTACAAGGTATACTTTTCTTTATATATATGTTAAGCCGGTATTAGAATTTACATTCCACAATATATGAGTGTGCCTATAAGTGTGTGTATATATAGTAAAGAACAAAATTTCAACAAACTGAGTTTTAAAGATGTATTTGGCTTTTATTAGCAATTCATGAAGCAGATATCATCCACTGCACCAAACAGGAGCCCACTGGTCATGGCAGAACACTTGGTTTTATAAGACAGCTTGAGCAGGAACAAAGAAACAGTGCAAAACGCAGATTATAGTACTCACCTCAGGTTTCTCTTCTTCAGTGAGTTAATGCAGAGAGGACTTCTCTATCCTGCTGACTCAGGAGGGTCACTAGGTCAGTTGTCATTGGTTTCGGTGAACCCCTCTCAACCCCAGAAAGCTAGTCTGTTTGGAAGTGTGGCTGTCATCTCTCTCTTGATTTCTCAGAAGGTTAGATCTTACAAATAAACAGTTTAGATTTTTATTTGCTGACGTGGTAGATGAACATAACTGACATGATTTTGGGTTGACCTCTCAGTCCTGGTGCAAGAGCTCAGTCCAAATTAATGAGCTCCCATAATTTTTATTTAATAATAAGCGTACATATATACACCTAGGCATGTGTGCCTGTGTGTATCGTATCCAAATGTAACCATTCGGACTTTTTCTACTGTTAACTCTAATCCAAAACTACGGCAATACGATTTACCCCAACTCCACTCTTGCATGCCTGTAGTCTTCACTGGCAGCCAAATGAGAAGTTTGAAACAGAAGCCAGGCTATTTATGTCCCTATCTGGTAAAGCAGTGTTAGCTTCCAATGTGAATCACAATAAAGTTCTCTGAGGAGACATCTATCTCTGATAGTCTCACCACGTGAATCTGTCACTTATCCACTTAGCCTGCTTTGTCTTTATATTTCTTGTCTCCAACTAACATACCGTTTACTTGTGTGTGTGTGTGTAAATTTGCCTCGCTACCACTAGTATGTAAATGAAAGCAGGAACTTTATCTCCCTTCTTTATATCTCTAATATCTGGAAAAGTACCTGGCATAAAATAAGCAAGGATGATGGATGGATAGATACATGCATGGATAGGTGCATGCATGGATGGATGGGTGGATGGAAGAGTTTGTCATCAAAAACAGGCAGAATGTATATTATTAGCCTTTTTCATCATTTAGGAAACTCAGAGAATGAAATCACAATAGAAAACAAAGAAAATGAAATTACTGAGTGTTCTTTACAAGTACAGCCTGGGTCTCGTCTCTCTCCCTCCCCCACCTCTCCTTTCTACTGCTGTTCCACACATCTGCACATACACATACATAGACATAGGGAGATGAAGTAGGGACAGTTCTATCATGTCATGAAAGAATGAACCTAAACTGCTCTCCTCACTGCAAATTTTAGCAACTTTGTCTCATAGGCATACAATGTATTTTTATTATGTATCTTACCCATAAATAACATAATACATAATAATTATAGATAGTATGTAATATATAAATACACACTGCATATGATCACAGAGATCATATAAATCTCTACTGGCTCAGAATTAAATGAAAGTGGCACTCGGGTAAAGATTCACTACATAAGAATTGGGCTTTTTTATATAAGCTGTATGTTGTGGTCATATGTCCTTTTAAAATACATAATAATGAAGTAATTATATATATGTATATACGTATGTATTTGGGAGTAGTTTTTCAGCACAGTCAAAAACTTTTCAGACTCTAATGATAACTTTTTTATAAGAGAATATGTCCAGAAATTGAGATTATTTCAGTCAGAATCCTTGTCTCCCTGTTCACTGAATGAATTTAACCCCTCCTCTCCCAAGCAGACAAGGGCATTGAAGGTTAATTAGTCTTTCCATATAGATACCAATTACCTTTTCAAAGAGCTACCCGGTGAGATTTGCTCTTTAGCAGTTTGTCTAAAAACTAGCTAAAGGTGCAAATATGGGTGTGAGGGGAGGTCTAACTTGGTTTTCAGCCTAGTTGACCCTTCAGTTTTGGTTTAAAAAAAAAAAAAGTTTTAAGCCTTTCAGTTACTAAAGAGCTTACTACACAGTTAAGTTTAGTTGTTTTCTTTTTCTATTGCTAATTTTTTTTTGTTTAGTTGTGTTTAATTTTAAAAATGGGAAATTTAGTGGTATGAGCTGAATTTTTGGCATTTCTATCTTTCACATTTTCTCTCTTGGAAATAGTAAGTATGATATCAATTCATGACTTAAAAAACAGAATAAATAATAAATAATAAAAGCCCAGATTTCATTGAGTGTAATGAGGCCAATGTCAGAAGAGCATTTGTTCAAGTAACTAAAGCTTTTAATAAGGCAGAAAATGATAGTTGAAGAGAACAATGGCTTCTGCTTCTGAGTACAAAATGACGATTAATGTCAGAGGGGAAAGCAGTGTCAGGGTTCATTTTGGAACTCAGCTCAGAAGGAGAAAGTTGAAGGTAATGAGGATCTATCCACGGCTCTAACACGGAAACTCTGGCTTCATCCTGACGGCTCAGTGTGGACACTGTCTAAGGCAGTGCAAGTCATTTAACCTCTTCAAATCTCACTCTCCTAGCGAGAAACAATGAGGATGGCAAAAATATCTGTCTTGGCAGGGCTTTGGTGAAAATTGAATGAGGCCATAGTTCTAAAACTTAGATGGTAGCCAAGGTTGTAAGAAATGTTTATAATCATAATAGTATGCAGGATTCTTGCTGTGCTAAACAATGAATCCCACTCCTGCCTCTCTCTACTCCGAAAACCACTGCTCCAAAGTTCGCTAAAGTTGCTTCCATCCTTTACAATACATGATAGTTAAGAAATTATGTTGCCTACCAACATCCGTATTTGGGACCTAATGCTGATTCCTTCAACATTTTGCATAACATAGGAAAAAGTACGCAAAAGATACAGGAAATAGGCAGGATATATATTGTTCACCTTCTTTCATGGAGATCACAACGGGAAGCAAACACAATGAGATTATTTAATTAATTCAGGGGCAAAATCCAAGTTTTCTGCTTCTCTGTCTCCCTCCTTCTCTCCTCTGTCTCTCGTTTTGAGGTTGGCTTATTCCTATAGTTTTAAATCAGGGTAGTTTTCACTTATTAAATGAAAATTTTCCATATGTGCCAATCTAAACTAGCTTGTCTAAACCTTCAGAATAGAATGAGGCCCTTCTCTGAAACTCAAATTATTAAGCTTGTGTATATATGAATAAGTAGCTCCCTGAGACCTTAAGGTAGGGGGATTAAAGGTGAAAATTAAGGAATGGGAGAAATCTCTTCCTTCTCCACGGCAGCATAGAACGCCAGCCTGTTTTCCTAGTTTTCTGTCTATGATAGAAAAATTTACCATTTAGTGAACAGTTGTTACATGCCAAGCACTGCACTGTGCATTGTTTCATGTCATCTTCATAACAGACTGATGCATTCTGTACTATTATTGTCATTTATAGATGAAAGAACTACTGTATAATTGGAATAACCAAGTAGCTTCACAAATGTCACATATCTAGTAAGTGGTTGAGTCAGGATTTGAACCTAAGCTTGCCCAATTCTATTTCTAGACTTTTTTCCATTTATTGATTGATAAATAGTCTTTCATTTCAACTTATTTGGCAATAAGTCTCTGTTTACCTCTGTCCTTTTCTAATCTTATCCTTCTTGTGCCTTTAAAGAGTAGGGAAGTGGCCTATAACAGTTGTGGTACCTCTGCTTAAGGAACTGTTACATGTTCCACCGGCCAAAAGATGACAGGTAAACAAATGTGACATGGAGCCATTAAGGGGTCCTAACAGATGGAACATGGGCCTCCTCACTTGTCACATGATTACCATAGACTGAAATGATGTGTCAAGTATTCAGCAAAGACCTTGCCATACCATAGTGGTCAATGTATAAATTCTCTAATTTTGCCAGACAATCCAAGGATAATAACTAACATGCAAGCAACTTCAAGGCAAAGTTTGAAGACTAAAAAGTCTGGACCTTCTTCTTAAAAAAAATAAATTGTGCCAACAGCCAGAGTCATTGTGAAAAGAGATTAAAGCTGAGACTATTTTGCATTACCTTTCAAAATTCATAGTAAGTGAGGTGGAGTTGGTGGGAGCAGTTGGAACTGGCTCAGAGGAGCTTTGTAGATGATGTACTGAAAGGAAATATGATGTTTTTAAGTTTGCCCTTTTTTCTCTTCCACAGTGATTAGTGAATGCCAAAGACAGCAACTGGAGTCTGTGAGCTACTCCTCTCGCTATGCTCTGGGCCTCTTTTATGAAGCTGGCACGAAGATTGATGTCCCTTGGGCTGGGCAGTACATCACCGGTAATCCCTGCATACGCTTCGTCTCCATTGATAATAAGAAGCGCAATATAGGTCAGTGCCCCCATTATTTCCCTTAAATACAGTAACAATAGTGGGTGTAGATCATGAAAAATGCTGTTTAATTGAGTGTTGCCATTCTGAACAGAGCAAGCATTTAACTCCAAGACATAGGGGATAAAATTTAATGTCACATTTTCCCAGTCATAAAATACACAGTGAAACCAGCAAAGTTTTTCAGATCATCATTCACCACATGGTTTATATTACTGAGTTCATGAAAATAGTGTCAGAAAGTTTAAGATTTCAAAATGACCCACGTTCTATTGCTTTAATATGGATCCGTGTATATGCAAATGTATATCTTATCATCTGTTTCTTAGTAGAACTTTTGTTTTATTTGGTGTGGGCTTTTTAAAATTTGATAAGTGCTGATCTTTCATTTCTGTGGCTAGAAATAAAAGATAAATTTTGCTGTTATGAAAATATTTCACTTCAATATAATTTTATTGTTTACTTACATTTCATCTGGAAAAATAGGGTAAAATTACTTTGTATAGAATATGACTAAAATGACAGGGAAAATATTTCATGAGCGCTTTCCTAGAATGTGATGAAATCTACACTTTAACTTCCTTGTTGACGATAGTTATAAAAATTAGATGTAATGGATGCGGTGCAGGCAAAAAAAAAAAAGTGAGAGTACATTTTTATTTGTAGGATGGTTGTGATCCCTGAGTTACTGCTTTTAGTAAGTAAAATATAATGATATAAACTCTTAAATGACTGAACTCTTTAAAAGAATTGTCACTTCAGTTTGTTACAATGCTTGATGGCACCATGATGGTTTCATCGAGCCATTAGTTAGAAGTCTTGCTTGATAAAATCACCAGCTAACGTCTCTTGGCTTGCCAGAAATTTATAATGATAGAACTGGACTGGAGTGTGGTTTTTATATCACAGCACATGATCTTAGAAAAATGTTTCTTTTATAACTTAAAACTCCCTAAGAGCTGGACTGTTTATGTTAACATGATACTATATATATGTACAATCAGCAGTTCATGAAAAGCCCTATAACAACAATGGACTAAACATTTTTAACTCTGCAACTGCTTTGTTCTGCAGAAAGAAAAATAGTCCTTGATCTTCTCAAGTTATATGCTATGAGTTAGACATTATCCGTTGTGTATTGCTTCATAAGGTATCTATCAGGGTATGTAATGGTAAAAAATTAAACTTATTTATAAACAGCATAAGGGTATTGCTTATGTTATCTGCTATGTACTGAACTGTATCTCCTTCAAATTTATACGTTGAAGCACTAATTCCAATGTGATTGTATTTAGAGATAGGGGTTTTATGAGGTAATTTAGACTATACAAGGTCATAAGAGTAGAGTTTTAACTCAGTAGGATTGGTGACCTTATAAGAAGGGTGAGAGGAAAAAAAGAAGGTACTCGCCTGTGCCAGCTCTCCCACACCAAGGAATCCTCATGTGAAAACAGAGCAAGAAGGCAGCTATCTTCATACTAGGAAAAGTGCCTTCACCAGGAACCACGTCAATCAGCACTTTGTTAGACTCCTATGTTCCAGAGCTGTGAAAAAATTTCATTATTTGAGGTACCTAGTCTCTGGTATTTTGTCCCAAAACCATGCTTGGGAATAGAAGGAACCATCATTGCCTCTGTCCCTTTTTAAGAACTAAGGAAATCTTAAAAAGGTCCAAGCCAAAATTTGGATACTCAAGCAGTACAAAACCAGTCACTGGTGGTGGGGAAGATCTCGGGGAAATAAAGTAATAAGCCTAGACAAATTAAGGCTTTTTCCTAGGACTAGTATTAGGGTCCTCTCCCTCTTAACATTCTGAAGGGTCACTACCTAAATAAAATAGGGAAGTAATGGCAAGCCCTGTAGAAACAAATGTGCAAACTGCAATCCACAGCCCACTTATTTATCACAAAGGGCTGGCACTGCAACTAAGCCTGAATACTGAGGTTTCCGTAGCTTAGAAAAACAACTCTTATACTAACATCTTTTGTCTTAAAAAAAAATAATGTGTGCCATAGGTTCCCCCACCACTGAAATAGGGTTGTGTTAGAAAGAAGGAAGTAATAAAGCTAGGTTGTGAATCAGTAATGGCCATTAACTTCAAGTAAAATCATCTCTTTTGTGGGAGGTAAAGTTCCAAAATTGGCATATAAAGAAGAGAATTGCATATATTCAAAATTACCTTTGATGTCCCAAAAAACTATATGACATTATGGAGAATGACAAAGCAACTTCCAGTAAATTCAGTAAGCCATTTTTGCAACATTTAATGGTTGTTGGTTTCTTTGGGTAAGACTATATTAAATAGCTGATTTGCATTTATAGGAAAGAGATATTTTCTCCTATGAAAGGCACACAGAAAGGAAAGAAATACCAGTCATAGCTCCTAACAGAATAAATCTCCTGTACAAATATAGTGGGATGGTGTGTGAACATACCCACACTACAATACAGAAACAATTCATAAAATTGTGCAGATTCTAAAGAATGAAAAATAATATTACGACACTTTCATATGATTGACAATATTTGTAATAGAATTTCTCACATTTTTATATCAACAATCATACACACAATTTTACAACTGTAGAGCCAAGTGAGTTAGAAACCATGATTTTAACCAGGTATGGTGGGGCACACCCGTAATCCCAGTGTTCGGGGAGGCTGAGGCAGGGGGATCGTTGCAAGTTTGAGGCCAGCCTGGGGCTACAAAGTGAGCTCAAGGCCAGCCTGAACTGCATAGCAAGACCCTGTCTGGAAAAAAAAAAAAAAAAAAAAAAAAAAAAAGAAAAGAAACCATGATTTTTCTTTAGCCATCTTGGTTGTACTTCAACTGGAAGGGAATACCTGCTTCCTTTTGTCAATTGCATGGACAATTAATCTTCTTTTAGGCAAATTTTATATTATGTGAAGTCTGCAGTTGTGACATGTCCTAATAAAAAATCTGTCTTCATTTAAACAATTTTTTTCTCACTAGCTGGGGTCAGAGTACTAGGTATGTCAGATTAACTCCATATAATATAAATGTTCATATGATGTGCCTCCACTAGTTTTTACTAATATAGACATCTAACTGGGCCCATAAGGGATGTTTCTTTATGCAACTAACATTACCCCATACCTGCCCTTTATTTGAGGTGGTTGAATCAAGAATTAATACTGTAAAATACACTCTACTGCACATTACTTCTGTTCTGTCAGGTAGGGCAGCAACAAGGTGGAAGGAGGCTGGCAGGGATTTGACCACAAAATAACAGTGTATTGATATGTCTGAAAGACAGAGGATAAAGCAGTCAAAACTAGGTGAAGTTCAAGGTATAGTCATTTGTCAGATATCAATAATAAGCAGTCTGTGCAAAACTGTACAACTGGAGCCAACATTTCCCTTGGGTAAATGAACTAAGTTCCGATATGTACTAGACCCAAATTCAAGTACCGAAGACATGGGCATCACCCAATATACTGATGTGTGCATTTCCAAGCTTGTGCTGTGGAAACTAGTTCCTTGAGATGCTCTTTGGGAAGGAGGTTTGTCACCAAATAAGTTTGAAATATGCTATAAACTTTACCACTGTTTTGGAGAGTTTTGGGCAATATTAAAGGATGTTCCTAAAGAATACACCTTTTCACTTCATTTATGTATAACTTCCCAAATGTACTTGACCACGGAACATTTCATTGGAGCACCAAACCTGTGAATGTCCTTCAGAAGTGGTTTCCTAGGGCACACTTGAGAAATCCTATCTTGCTGTTGTCTTTTGTGCTTCACTTACAGGCAGGAAGAATACACCAGATAATTGAGATGGAAGATCTGGTTCTGCAGTACAGGCATCAATAAGAAGGTGCACAGAAACTTTTTTAGGGATAGAAAAACCCTTGTTTCTGATGAACTCAAATTTTATGGAACTTGAATTTAAGATTTGTAGGTTTAGGGGCTGGGGATTTAGCTCAGCGGCACAGCGCCTGCCTGGCAAGCACAAGGTCGTGAGTTCGATTCCCAGTACCAGAAAAAAAAACAAAAAATAAAGAATAAAATTTAAAAGATTTGTAGGTTTAAAAAAAAAGATCTCATTCGTGTTCACATAGTCCTATAGTTTGGATCTCAGATGTCCTCCAAAGGCAAGTGGGTTAAAGGCTTTATCCTCAGCATGGAGCTATGAAGAGGTAGAAAGTTTAAGACATTGAGTGTAGAGAGAAGTCATCCAGTTTTGGGGACATGCACTTGACTGAGGATAGTGGGACTTAACTTCCCACTTACTGTCTCTCCTTTTTGCTTCTCAGCTATGAAGTGAGCAGCCATGAAATATGCACCCCCTGCCATGATGCTCCATTGAAGTACAGGCCCAAAAACAATGACATGGAGCAGACATGAATTTGCAAACCTGTGAGCCAAAGTAAATACTTTATCTTTATGAATTGATTATCACAGAGATTTGTTACAGTGCCAGAAAACTAAGATACATGAGTAGTTTTTTAAATTATCACTGTTAGACTGTTGTCATTATTAGATTAGCATAGTGGTAAGAATTTAAACTTAAAAGAACTATATTCAAAATTTGGCTCTGAAAAGTGCCACTGATATGCTTTTTTGCATGTCAAGCTAGTTTTAATAGTAAACACATCCAGAACTTTAATGGCCTGAATATAATAGAAATTTCCTTGTAGCCCAACAGGTGCTTATGATTGGTAAGTAGTTTTATTTAAAGTGGTTATTTGGGTAATTAAATATTTAAGAAGATGGAAGCAAATAACCCTGATTTGATCCTTACACATTTTATACATGTATCAAATTATCACACTATATCCAATAAAATGTACAACTCTAATGTGTCAATTTAAAAAATCTTAAAAAGCCTTAGGAAAAAGGAGGTTATTCAGGGACCCAGGGTCCTACCATATTTAGATTGACTGTGCTCAGAGGCATTAAATCAGTGGATTGGAAAGACAATAGGGAAGACAGCATGTGGGAGGGAAAATCTAAGTACAGTTTATAACAGGTGTGC